TGTGCAATACATGATTGAATTTGGCGTTTAGTGCCGGCATTGAGTAGACTCATGGAGATACCGAATGTGTCTCACTTGGCAGCATTCAAGAGGATTCTAAGAGACATCAAATGATCTATTAGTTGTATAATTCTCTTTCCCGTAGAAAACACAGGAAGAAAATGCAATTTACACGGTTTTACCAATTCCAATTGGCGCGGAGATAAAGATGATTGAAAGTCTGCATTTAGATATATCTTTATGTTCGGTAGAACACCAATATCATGGTGTTTGAAGAAGGAACTGGTGATAGAACTCTCGTCTTGTGAGGCCGAATATATTGTCTTTTGTTGTGTGCCTGTCAAGCCGCGTGGTTGATGAATCTACTAAAGGAGATGGACAGTGACGTGGGTGGCGCTGTAACGCTCATGGTTGATAGCGTTTCCGCTATTAATCTTGCTAAGACCCAATTGCTCATGGGAGAATAAAACATATTAAGATGAGGTTTCACTACTTGAGAGAGCTTGTTAGTGAAGGAAGGTTGAGATTGAGATATTGTAGAAGTGAAGATCAAGTGGCTAATTTGTTAAACAAGGGGGTCACCATTGAAGTGTTCAAAAGGTTGAAGATGAACATGGGCATGGAAGACTTGGAGCACTTGAGTTAAGGTGGTGTGTTAAGTAAAAATTGATAATTCAAGTGTTGTAACCGATTACCACAGGGGTGTAACCAGCTACAGCTTGACGAAATTCACTTTTGGGATGAAAAACTCAAGACTCATAGTGAGTGTAACCGGTTACCACTGTATTGGATTTTATTTTATAACAGTTGTAATCGACTACATGTTTAGAGTAACAGGTGTTGGAAATCCACCAAAACCTATGATGAATTTCAATAAATCTTTGATGAACAAGATTGTTATCACCACACAATAACAATGAAAAATATGAAAGAAAGAAAGAAGACAATGATTTTTCTGCAGAGTTTCTCTCTTCCCATAATCAGTGGAAAAATTTAATCACTTGCAACTGCAAATTCTATGAATACAACTTAATTGACTTGATTACAAAAATAGAGGTTACTCCCTCTATTTATAATTGAGCTTGCTTTCTCCCTAAGCCAAAAAGCCCAAAACTATAAAAGCCCAAAATACATATTTTGGAACTAAATAAAATATATATATTTTAGATCTAAATCAAATCTAAATCTAAAACCAAATTAAATATGTGTATAGCCTTCTTCGATCCACAAGCTCTTCAACTGGGCAATGATTTCCATCGAACAACCTGCTTCGACAACCTCTAACTCTTCGACACATATAGTTTCAACACACATGAATATTTTGACCTGAATATTTCGACACACATGAATATTTCGACATGAATATTTAGAACGCGGGCGGATCAAAAACGAATTGTTTTAAAATATGTAGTTAGCGGCAATGACTCAAGTCGTATCGCAAGGATTCTTGTCTTTATTAACTAAGAGTAGTAACGATTTATGGGGGTTTATCGTTTTAGGATTTTTTATGAAAATAGAGAAAATAAGTGATTATAAATTGAGTAATTATAAAATAAGCTAATCTGCTAATTCGGTTCCTACCTATCATTGATTATTATAGCATCGCTGCCCTAAGCGGGTACTATTCTTGTTCGATCACAATAACATTCAACAAGCGAGAATGATATTATAAGAATTATGTTTCCTGTTTACCGAATTAAGCAAATGGTTAAAAATAAGCGAATTAACGAATTAAGCAAAACGATAACACGCAATGAAAATTAGAGACATAAATTAATCGAACCAAACAAAACTATTCTATGACAATCGAATTAAGCAAACGATGAGCACGCAATAGAGTTGAAAGGAATAGGAATTAAATTGCAAAATTATATTAACCTCAAGTATCGGAACATGAATGTAGCAGATCAACTCAGAGGAAATTTAGCTCTCCATAAGATTCGTACAAAGCAAAAGTTCTATCGTGAAAATAAAAAGTTTTTTTTTATTGTAGCACGACTGAAAACCTTATAAATAAAATAGGGTTTTTTCACTATAAACTCAAACTGGGCCGGAATATAAACCAGATCCATAAAATGACCTGAAATAAATTGTTTTCTAACGTCTGAAACTTCAACGAATTACTGGGAATTATGCACTCCGAATCAGCTTCCGACTCCAAAATAAAAGTTGTAAATCTTTCTCTCAGCTTTCCAACGATTATTAGAACGCGCCAATCTGATTACCGAAACTCGAGTTATGATTTTTTCATTGAAAGCTACTAATGCTGAAAATAAAATACGAAAATCAATTAAAGGTAAAAATAAACTAAATTATAAAAACATCATAAAATAGAAAAATAAACAAAACAAACCATGGAAATGCCTAAGTACAAACATAAGAGAATGCGCATCAATATGCACTGATCACCCAACATGGAGACTATCAGATCCTACATGAGTAATGGGGACCCGCACGTGATTCCGTACCTGGATGACTTGTTCCGCAAGATCAGGAGGATATGGATGCGATCTTTCTAGGACCACGAAGACTCCGTGATATTCTGAGACGTTGATAGTCAGTCCTACGAGGAGGATGCTCGCGAGGTACTTCTGCTCGTCATGGATGCTCCTACTGATCCTGAGGTCGTGTGATAGGACCTTTATGGTCGAGGAGAGGATTGAAGCGAGACCTCGAGGTCCTCCTGACCGGCGATGATCCTCCTGAGGGTAACTAAGTTTCTCCTCGTGTGGTGAGCCGTGTCTCCTCGCGGGAGTAATTGTTGCCCGTCGATATCAAGGGCAGAATCGACCAGCATGTCTTGAACGACACAATTAGATTGGGTCTCACATGGAGTTGGGCCAAGGACAGGCCCAGTCCAGAACAATAACCTTAATTTTAGCGGCAAAATTTCTTTCAATGACTTAACACTTTAATTAATAAGATTATAATATTAAATATGATTTAATAATTAATTTTTATTTTTATTTAAGACAATAATTTTTTTGTTTAAATAATTTCTACACTGCTAATTGAGTTGGTTTAATCTTTTAAAGTTAAAAATATTTACATTGTAATTATTTTTCATCTAAATAATATTTATGCGGTCATTAAATATTGACTTGATATGTCTTTTTCAATTTTAAATTTATTTAAAAAACCTAAATTAAAATAATAATAATAATTTATCACCTTCATCCCATCACCATCTTATAATCTGAAAAAGAAGTTAAACATAAATCTCAAAAAAAGAAAATAAAGTGGCTAGCATGAAATATTTTTTATTTATAAGTATTAATAAATTGTTTATATTAGTATATTGTATAAAAAATTTTAAAAAAATGATATTAAAGATATAAGTTTAGACCAATAACTACTAGCAAAATAATCTCATGCATTAGACCAATAACTACTAGCAAAATAATCTCATGCAATAAAAAATTACACAGATTCACGTATTCAAGTTATTGTTTAAATGATATTAGTTTTATAGTTACAATTGAATATTTTAAACAATGATGGCATTATTTAGTAATTTCTCCAACATACACTACATGTTCTTGATGCAGTCAAAGCAGTTCTCCATGCAAATATTGAAAGAAAGCTCAAGCATATGGGTACCCGAACTGGTTTCAAATCTAGACATATTTTTGGACCAAATTGAAGCAACATTGTCCACAACATCATCAGCAAGTTACATGTTCCCGCTACAACAATTCTTGTTCAAGTTCCTCTTCAAAGTCCTTGCTAAAGCCGACACTTCCCTCGACCCGAAAATTGCAGAATCAGGCTACTCCATGCTCAACAAATGGCTGGCGCTTCAGCTTCTACCTACTATCAGTATTGGCAAAGTTCAACCACTTGAAGAACTCTTTCTTCATTCCTTTTCTTATCCTTTCTCTCTTGTTAAAGGAGATTACAACAACCTCTATAACTTTATTCAACAACATGGTAATGTTTTTTCTATCCTTAATTGCATATCAAATGGTTTCGGGTTGATGTTAAAGTTTATAGATATATAATAGTAGTTTCAATCAAACCGTAAGTTTTGTTATACAAATATATAGTAAAGAGTTATTGTATGTATCATCTATTAAGTTTGACACTGTGATGTCATTTGATGTGATAACAGGTAAGGAAGTGGTAAAATGTGGAAAAGAATTTGGGTTGAGTGAAGATGAAGCAATCCACAACTTGCTTTTCATTTTGGGTTTCAACTCATATGGTGGATTTTCAATTTTCCTTCCAAGATTAATAAACACCATAGCAAGTGACTCAACCGGTTTGCAAGAGAAGCTGAGAGAGGAAGCCAGAGAGAAAGCCGGTTCAACTCTCGGGTTCGACTCATTGAAAAATTTGGAGCTAATTAATTCAGTGGTTTACGAAACCCTTCGGATGAACCCGCCGGTTCCGCTTCAGTTTGGTCGAGCCAGAAAGGATTTTCAGCTCACTTCAAATGACTCATTATTCAATATAAAAAAAGGTGAGTTATTATGTGGATATCAGAAGCTTGTAATGAGGGATCCGGCCGTGTTCGACGAGCCGGAGAGTTTTAAACCGGATCGGTTTACTAAAGAGAAAGGCGCCGAGTTGTTGAACTATTTGTACTGGTCTAATGGACCGCAATCCGGTTCGCCAAGTGTGGCGAATAAACAGTGTGCAGGTAAGGACATTGTGACCTTCACTTCTGCCTTAATTGTGGCACACTTGCTTCGTAGGTATGATTCAATTAAAGGAGATGGTAGTTCCATAACTCTCTTAACAAAGGCCAAATGAAGAGTTAGAGTTTGGTTTTCAATGAACATGAGTATTTGTTTGTGATTATCAATGACATTATGTATATTTTTCTCTATAAAAGAGGACTTGTATTGTATCTGTTCAAAGAATACTTAGAAAATCAGATTAGAACTTGATATCTTTCAAGATCGAAGAATTCACTTTTACAATGAAAATATGCGACAACTCTATCCATTAGAGGAAACATAACACAGCGAAAATCACAAAATGAATATTACTATCATTCAATTAGCAACAATGCCACTACATAACTCAACAAATAGGAAAGCTAGCACCATTGATTTCCATATTATAGAAAATGGTATCCCATATTTTCCTTTCCCAAAAAGCCCTTTCAAAAATGGCAAGTAACATAAAACCACATAAGCACTGCAAAAAACCTCTCCTACTCCAAATCCTTCACCACTCTCAATCAGTTTCCATGCCCAAAAACTCCTCATAAGTGCCCTGAGTTGAACAAACAAAATTGTAGTCCCTGGTAGAAAAATAAGTGACTCATTGAAAATGAACCTACCGACATTTTCATTGGGACCGTCGTTAGAAGGTAGTTCTTCTTTCTTTGTTATTTCAAAAACGGTGTCAGAGATTCTCAGATTCTTAAGTATGATAGTTAAAAATCCCAAAAAACAAGAGTTCATGGTTGTTATTCTTCCCATCCTTTGATTGTTCCACCATGTTCGGAACGATAATCCTGATTTTATATGCTCGGAGAGAGTAGATATGTTGTATATCGCAAATAGAGTCACGGGGATCCACATACCGAGTTCCTGTTAGAGCATGATTTACTCATTGTTGAAGAAAGATTCAAATAAACAAAAATTCAATATATAATCTAAATCATGCTACTAACCTTGTTAGGCAAGAAACTGGAGTTAGAAAGGATGCAATAGGCAGGTAGAAGGGCATAACAAATTTCAGGGAGAGATCTTAAGGCCCAATTAGTAATCCAAATATATGCCAAACACTCTCTGAATTGGAGTTTACCAAATAGGGTACCGAAAATCGGACAATGCTTGCTAAGAAAGATATCAAACAACCCTGAGGACCATCTCTTATGTTGGGCCATTTGGCCCAAGTTATCTTGCGGTGAGCAGCCCATAAATGCTATCGGATCTGGTGAACAAAGCTCGGATCTCCATCCTTTTGTGTGAAACTTAAGCCCAGTTAGTACGTCCTCTGATGTCGATCCATATAACCATCCCACCTAGTATACCAAAAGTTAACTTAAGAAACACTAACTAGCACATACATACACATGCATTCTAGTGTAAACCAGACATCATATATAGGCGCAGACATAACTGCAAAGACTAATTCTCTGAGTCAAACATGCCTACAATGCAAACAAGACTCTTCATTAAGAGTTTTTAACCATGTTGCATTATCAGAAGTGAGTTCGAATTTCTGACCTGTTTACCCCAAGCAGTATTGTATTCATAATCACAACTAGCAACTTTGGTTGCTTCTTCAAGTTCAAGATATTTGTAAATATCAAATGTAGTCCCTTTCAAAATATAAGTAGCTGAGTCAACAAATCCCTTTGAGGTTCCAAATATTTGCACTGTTTCTTTTTCTGATAACAATGTTCCTGCACAAGAGATTACTATATGATAAAAATATTCATTTTGAAACAATGAAAGAAAAACAGTAAATATATCCTAATACCTTTGGTGAAGCCATGATCCTTGTTTGCATTTTGAATGTCAAGATTAGGAGAAAGACCATAAATAACTTTTCTTCTATGAAAACAATTTGTTCCTGCATATATAATCCCTTGAAGTCCAGCAAATCCACCTCCTATGTACTATAATAGATAAAACCAGAAATGATTATTTGTCTACTCATTTCATGAATTTTCATTGTTAGTTAATTTTTTCAGAAGGAAAATTGACTCACCATAGGCAAAGCCACAAGCTGATTTCCATAAGCATCATCTTTCACAGCATCATAGAATCGTTGCGGACATTGAGCAAATGCGACTTCTTTTTCTCCTTTCGAATCCAACAAAATGCAAAGTGCATGTAGTACAATCTTAGGATTATTCACATACATGTCACAATCTAAGTTTAGGATAAACGGCGCATTTGTCATCAATCCAGAGATTCTTGTCTGTACACAACACAAATCATTCGAAGTTTTAGATCAAAATCAAGGAAATGTATAATTTCTTATCATATGCGATATTTATCTTACCAAGACATTCATTGCACCAGCTTTGTGATGATGCGAGTGGTTTGAACTCTTCTCTCTAGAAATGTAGATTACGCGAGGCATGGTATCAGGAAGACCTTTGTTTCTTTGAATTACCTGTCAATAGAAACATACTTAGAAAACGAATTTAATTCGAATGAACTAATTGTTACACATAAATCTAATCAAAATCCCTTGTATGAATGCTTATGTACCTTGATTATAGTTTGATGATTTTTAACCTGTGTTTGTGAAAATACAGCAAATTCTCCCATAAGCTGACACGGAATCGACTTTTCAGCTGCATTTTTAATTTTACTGCTAAGTTGTTCATACTCTTCCTTCATTTTCAACCAATCTTGTTTGAATTCTGGCAAATCTTTGTTATCTACGGCTTCATCGCAGAAGTATCGAAAAGGTGCTCTACATTGTACATTGTATTTCTTACAAAAAGGTACCCAAATTTCAGCAAATTTTGCAGCTTCTTGAAGGGCATAGAAGGTAAGAGGTGAACAAGCATCATCAGAAACATAGCAAGCTAGCTTGTTAGAAGGGTAATCAAGTGCCAATAATGACAAGACAGTGTTCACTGTGATGATTGGTGGTTCAAGAACTGGATCTGCTGTTGTCACAAACAAATCCAATGCTGGAAGCTCAGATTCAGATACCCTTTTGAAAAAAACAATACAAATAGTTAGCAAAATCCAACATTGATTACTAAATTCAAATTTACACACATTCACGCAATCAGTACATCAGTAGTAGTAGTAGCAGCAGCAGTTGAATCAAGATTGAATAAAGATTGAATCAAGATTGAAATGTATAGATATACCTATGTGCGAGACGGTGGAGGAATGTTTTGGTACGAGCCGGAGTCCATTTGGTGGACAAGGTGGTAATCCAAGTGATGGTGAACCATGATTCACATAGAAATGCAACAAACCAAGGGAAACTGTGATTCTCATGTGATGAAAATCTGTAACCAAGAAGCACGAGAAGGAGGAGTAAGATCAAAGAATCCATAACTCTTGAAAATGAGTGTTTGATCCATATTTTCTCATAGAGAGGGAGGGAATTTTGGTTAACCATTAAGCAAAATCACATGAGAATATTTCTAAACCTAGTAGTGCTCTATTATTGTATCACACTCTTTGCAGAACAAGTACTTGTACCTTTTAAAGGCAAAAACTCATCATATGAAAATTTTGAATTCTAAGCGTATTTCATTTATTTTATACGTTAAGATCTCGTATTTTCGTTTAAATTATAATTTCAGAATACAAGTTTGAAATCACTTGGAAAAATTAAGTATAGTGGCACCCGTGATCGATATATAATACACAAACATTTTGAAAGGATCAAAGTTATATTATATTTATACTTAGAGAAAATCTTATCCAACGAACGTGGCGCCGACAAATACTATACCTGGACAAAACATACACGCCCAAATGAGTTGAAAATATGATAGGAAGGATATTCTTAATTAAAAAAATATAATAATATTCTATATAGTATAAAAAAAATACTATGTATATTAATTTTTTAATCGAAGAATTTCAAAATAAACTCCATTGGAGTTGCTTTTTAACTACTAGCATATAGATGATGAGTAATTAGAACTTCCACCATTGAAACCTTAAGCATGTGTCTCATCCTCAAACAATTCTATTGATGTTCATGACAATTCTTGAAGATATGATTAGGCCTTCTTCATCTAACCTATACAATTCTCCGTCGTTATTTATCTTTCTTTATCTTTTTATTTTCTTTATTTTGAATTTTTGTTGCATTTTTTAATCAATTGTTTTATAAAATGTTTCTAAACTTTGATTTCTTAAATAATTTTGTTTTAAATCAATGATTTTCAAACCTCCATAATTCACACTCTCTTATGTATGAAATCATATGTCAAACAAGTTGAAGATATTGACCAATGAGTATGAAATTTATAGAATGAAACCTAAAGAGAACATTTATGACATGCAAAAGCGATTTAGTCATGTCATGAGTCAGATGAGAACTCTTGGGAAAACTTCTAAAAAATGAGGGTTTGGTTGTAAAAGTTCTTAGATGCCTAAACTGCCGTTGACAATCAAAATTCATTATAATTTATGAAATTAGGATTTTGTCATAGACATGGAAATCATGTTTGGTAAATTGCAGAAACACGAGATGTAACTTAAAAGACTCTCTATTGATGAAGAAGAAGACAAGAAGAAGAAAAGTCTAACTCTCAAGATTGAATAAGAGAAAGAATCTGACACCGATGAAGAGATGTTGCTAATAGTAAAGAACTTCAAAAGATTCATGAAGCATGAAAGACAACAAAAAGGAAAATACAAAAACAAAGGAAAATTAAACATTCACTCTCATATACTTTCAATACGGGAAGAAAGAGCATATAAGGCCAAAATGCCCTCAAAATCGGAAAGAATATCAAAATCATAAAAAATTAAAGAAACCTCATAAGGAAGAGAAGAAAGCTTACACCACTAAGACGATAATGATATGGATTCCTCCAACGAAGAACCAACATATGTCTCATGGAAGACCATGAAGATAACAGTGTATCTTCTCATTTTTCTTATCATGACTTATTTCGATTTTTCAAGAGGTTAAATAAAGAAACAAGAAATTTGAAACAAATTGTCTCAAATTCTAAATAGACCATCTCCTTCCTTGAAATTGAAAATCAAAACCTTATGGAAGAAGTTGAAACTTGTAGAGAAAGACAATGTATTTCAACTAAAGTCTCTTCCCCTTCTCATGAAACTATAGCTAAATCTGACACGTGTAATCATTACTACAAATAACGCTTTTAACGTCGGACGCGAAATGCGTTTTATCTCGGCATTAGATGCTAGGTAAATAAAATCGTCATAAAAAGTAAAGAATTATCATCTCGGTGTTTAAAACACTGAAGTAAAATTTTATTAGTGATGAGTTTGAACCCTAACAACAACAAATTTTATTATTTTCAAAAGAGTTAAATATGTCTTTGTAATATTTTTCGTCCTTATTTTTAGTCTCTCCTGTTAGATTCCACTAACAGAGGTTTACATGGCACGACACGTCAGTTAAAGTCAACACTAAAAAAAATAGATATATTACGGGAATTTTAAACTTCCGTTAAATAACTTAAAAAATAATAATTTTTCACATACGAAGAAATTATGGATTATAAAGCCTTTTAGTGTCAAAAAGATTTATGGATTATTGTTGTGTGTGTTATCTTTTGCTCCAATTAAGTAATGCATATCTAATGTCACTACATTTCACGATGCCAATTATATGCTATACACATAATCACACATAATCTCAACTAAGTTGCAATGATTTTTGAGCCCTTGCATATTTCTAATCCTTGTTTTTAACTTTTCATACAAATATTGCTACTTAACATTGCTTTCGTGAATATGATGATCAAAGAAAATACAACATTATGGTGTTGTTACTTGTATTAGAGGGTAATTTAGTATTTGTCATTTGTTGGATATTCTCATTAGGCCCTATGTGGCATTCTTATCTTTACTATTTTGTGTATAAATAGGTGTACTAGGTTTACATTTAATACAATCAATTTTCTTCAATCATTAGTGGCAACTTTTAGCATTTATTCCTTTTCTCTCTTCTTCCTCAATTTCATCACCTTGCACTAACAAATTGGTATCTAGAGCTCTTGGTTTGTTCTAAAATTCTGGGAAACACGAGTGATAGTGAGCTGTGTGTTTGATTTTTGAATCTTGAACAAAAATCTGAAACAGAATCACACTGATTCTGTGGGTTTGGGAAACACTGAGTGAGAAATCTGAGATCTGAGTTTTTTTGTGCAAGGTTTAAGATGAATGGAGGCAGTAGTTTGAACACTAAACTTCCAGTTTTTGATGGAACAGATGGAAGATACAAATGCGTGTGCTGTTTGGTGCTCAGGATGTTCTGGACCTTGTTTCTGAAGGTTATGTTCCAGTTACAGCAGATGCTACTGAAGAACAAAAATCAGAAGAAAGAGCTACGAGGAAGAGGGATCAGAAAGCTTTGTTCTTTATCCATCAGTGTGTGGATGAAAATGTGTTTGAGAAGATTGTTGATTCGACGACGTCGAAAGGGGCATGGGATATATTGACCAGATGTTATGGTGGTGACGTGTCAGTAAAGAAGGTAAAACTTTAGTCCCTGCGAAAACAATATGAAAATCTCAGCATGAAGAACAGTGAGAAAGTTTCTGAGTACATCTCCAGAACGATTCTGATCACTAATGAGATGAAGGCTTGTGGAGAAACACTTTCTGAATAGGTAATCATAGAAAAGATTCTGAGGTCACTTACTCCTCAGTTTGATTACATTGTTGTTTCTATTGAACATTCTAAAAATCTGGAAACCATGAGAATAGAAGAGTTGCAAAGCAGTCTAGAAGTGCAAGAGTTACGTCTGACTGAAAGAACTTCTGAGAGGGAAGTGGAGCAAGCTCTGAAAGCTTCTTTTGTCAAGAAGGACCAGAAGCAGAATAAACATGGTGATAAATTCCAGAAGTCAGAAACCTCAACTTCTGATGAAAAGAAATATCAGAAGGGAAAGGAAAGGTATGACAAGAAGAAGGTTCAATGTTACTGCTGTAAACAGTTTGGCCATTTTGCCAGAGACTGTAGAAACAGAGGAAGGAAATCAGAAGAAGCAAATATAGCCAGAGGAGATTCTGATGATGAACCTGTGCTACTGATACTTCTGATTCTGATGGAAACTGTTCAGAAGATTGGTGGTATATGGACACTGGTTGTTCAAACCATTTGACTGGGAACAAACAATGGCTGATAGACTTTGACTCCAGAAGGAGAACAAAGATCAGATGTGATGATGATAAGTACCTTAATGCAGAAGGTATGGGAAATGTTAGAGTCAGAGTGAAGAATGGAAAAAACATTCTGATCAAAGATGTTTGGTATGTTCCTGGAATTAAAAGCAATCTGATGAGTGTGGGTCAGCTTATTGAGAAAGGTTTTTCAGTGGTTATGAAGGACAACCTCTTGACGTTGTATGATTCTAATCAGAAGTTGATTATGAAGTCTGAGCAGGGAAGCAACAAAACATTCAAGGTGAATGTAGAAACTTCTGAAGCGGAGTGTCTTAGTGCAGAAGGCGCTGAAGCTGACAGTAAGCTGTGGCACAAGAGGTTGGGGCACTTGAACTATAGAAGCTTAGGGCATCTAAGTTCTAAAAAGCTTGTACATGGCATTTCGAAGATTGTGAAGCCTCAGAAGTCATGTGAGATATGTATGAAAGGCAAGCAACCCAGATTGCCATTTGCATCAGAAGTAGCCCCCAGAGCAAAGCATGCTCTGGGAGTAGTACATTCTGATGTGTGTGGACCATTTCCAGTACCTTCACTTGGAGGAAACAAATATTTTGTGTCTTTTGTGGATGAGTTCACAAGAATGACATGGGTAACACTCATCAAGTTCAAGCATGAAGTGCTTACTGAGTTTCAGAAGTTCAAGGTGAAGGCTAAGAAGCTGAGTGGTCAGAAGCTGAAGATTCTGAGAATAGATGGTGGAGGTGAGTATAACTCTACAGAGTTCCAGAAGTTCTGTGAGGAGAATGAAATGGAACATGAAGTTACTGCTCCATATACTCCTCAACACAATAGTCTTGCTGAAAGAAGAAACAGAACTTTGCTTGATATGACCAGAAGTATGCTGAAAGAGAAGAAGTTACCTCACATGTTATGGGGAGAAGTTGTTGCCACATCAGCATATGTTTTGAATAGGTGTCCAACAAAGAAGCCGAAGGAAATTGTTCCTTTAGAAAATGGACTGGAGACAGGCAAAGTGTTAGCCATCTGAAGGTGTTTGGTTTTGTATGCTACAAACACGTTCCAGAGGCTAGAAGACGAAAACTGGATGATAGAAGCAAAACAATGTTGCTGGTGGGGTACCACAGTACATGTGCCTATAAGCTTTATTGTCCAGAAACCAACAAAGTTGAAATCAGCAGAGACGTCGTTGTGAAAGAGTAAGAAACATGGGATTGGAACAAGCTTCAATCAGATTCTGGTGTAGCGCCAACACCAGGGTTAGTTTCTGAAGATCCTT